CGCCCAGGTGCGCCAGCGAGGCCACGCCCGGGCCTGCCCGACGGCCCCGCGCCGGGGAACCCGGGATTGCCTCCGGCCCCGACAGTGCGCCCCCACCCCCATCCCTGTCCCCCGACGGCAGGAGGGCTGTGGGGTCCCACGGGATGCTTCCCTGCTGGGCGCGATGGGGCCGGGTAGACTTACGGGGCTCCCTAGAGCCCCCTAGCTAGAAAGACGGGCCTCCCAGCTCCCGCCTGCGCAGGAGTGTGTAGCAAGATCTCCCCCGGGCGTTTAAGGCTAATTTAGAAAAAGCAAAAACCCAAGTCCCACCGCCGTTTTGTTATGGAAAGTCGCAAACACCTACACCAAAGTGAATAGATAGCCCTTCTCTTTCTTTGGAATGTGCACGAGAATCCTCTGGGAATTTTATTTGATCACAATACAGTTTCTCATGCCGTCTGTCTGGGGTGGAGCCAAACTCCCCATTTCCAAGGAGGTGCAGAGGGCCTCTGGACCACACTTTGATGGTGAGGTTCTAAAGAAACCGCAGCCCCCCGCCCTCACCCCCACCCCCCCACTCCCTGAGCTGCCAGAACATCAACTGTCAGTTTTGTTCCATTTACACCCTTCTTCCCCATCACTCCGAAGCTAAATTAGGCATGTAGCCTTTCATCCACGGGTATCTTTTGTATCTCTAATAAAATTATTATTTTAAAAAGCTCACAGTATTTTACAGTTAAATTAGCCACTAGTGCTATAAATGTCAACTCTCCAATCCAGGTTCAGCTTTCCAAGTTTGAACACAGCCTTTGCTGACTTGGTGATTTGTGCAGCCTAAAGAAAATTCTGTGCTCAAATTTAAGTCACAGAGGCCTGTGAGGAACTGTTTGGGGGTCAGAGAAGAACGGCTTGAGCTCGCCATGCCTGACCTGACCTGACCAGGGATGCCTGACCTGATCTTGCCAAACACCCCTCACTGGCCTGGGGATGAGGCTGTGGGAGGCATGGGGATGGGGATGGGAGGCATGGGGACCCCCACTTCAGTTTGTCAAAGGGAGTAGTGTCTGGCTAAGGAATGGAGCTTTCTTATGGCCTACAGAAAGCTGGAGGTCCTAGCCAGGGAACCTGGAGCACCCCAATTCTGTGGCACAGCCCCTCCCACAAGGTCCTGCAGCATCAGACACAGCCTGAAAACTATTTCCAGGTGGGGTCAGGAAGTCCAGGGATCCCTCAGAAATGACCAACAGGCATTGCAGGTGGGGAATCTGCCTGACACACACACCTGACGCACAGTAGGACAGCACAATTGTATGGAGAATGAATCAAAGAGTCAGCTCATTAGAAGTGAAAAAATATTTATTTAATGAACACTTGGGTTTACTATGTGCCAGTCATTATGTCCAGTGTTTTACATATACATATACTCCCTTAAGCCTGGTAAGAGGTCTATGAGTCACTAGTATTATTATCCTCATTTTAGAGATGAGGCACCTGAGGTACAGAGAGGTTAAGTAACTTGATGAAGGTTGCACAGCTGTAAGGGTCGAAGAAGCTAACAACAGCCTGGATTGAGAGCCCACACTCTCAGCCCTAAGGCTCCGGATTGAAGAGTGTTGCCCCTTGAAGGAAATGGCCCACGTGTAAAATAACCTGACTTGCCTACATCATGAGGACATGACTATTGAGTCTACTTTGATATGTGCTGCCCTAGATTCTGTGGAACAGAAAGGGAAAACCCTGTGCTTGAGGGTCTTTGGGGTCGGTGGTACCAGTGGAAGTTGGGAGAATGTCCTGGGAGTGAGTTCTGGAGTGGGCAAGGGTAATTCATGGTTCATTTGTTTCCTTGAGGCTGAGGGGATCCCGTTCTCCCCAGGAGGAGGGAGCCTCTCTGTCACGTGTCTTGAAACTCTCAGCCTATATAGCAGTGAGCCCAGGATGGTAAGGAATACCAGGGAAGAGCTCATTGCCCAAGTGGGTGCAATCCTGGAGGGCACGAGCTGGCCCCTCAGGCTGTGGCTCTGGAGGCCTCTTAAGCAATGGTCAGGAAGTGACTCAGGCCTCAGACTCTGCTGACACGGACCCCTCCTCAGGCCTGTGTTTACTCAGCAGCCAGGAGGCCTGGTCCAGGGGGATCCAGTCAGGGAAGTCACCAATGGGAGAGGAAGAGAAGGGGGTCCCTGAGGATACCTGGATGTTCCCCTCCTGCGGCCTGGCACACCTTTCTCTTCTCTTCTCTTCTCTCCAGACAGCTGCCTTGTGCTGCCATGTGGGTTTCTGACCTATATACGATGATGCAGGGGGGTCAGGAAACCAGCTTTGGAATGAGACCTGGCTCCACCGCTACAAGCTGTTGACCTTGGGCACAGTTCCTTCCCCTGTCAGGTTTCAGTGTCTTCCTTGTCACATGTGTATGATAGTAAAACGTGACGAATGTGTTTTAAGAGTTCGGGCATGTATCATTCGAGAGCAGTATGATAACAACCAGTGAGGTGACTGTCAGTGCCTCCAGCTAAAGGTCACTAAAACCCCTGTGGGCGAGTGAGCTGGAGTGTCCTGTGCGGCAGTGTGGAAGGACAGGCACTCTGGGTGCTGTCAAGCTGACTCAGGAAGAGGATGTGAGAAAGGACTTACTAGACGGTTTGGGGTGTGTTAGGTGATTTGGTGGTAGGGTCAAGGAAGCAAAACTCTGTTCTGGATTAGATACTGTCAGGAAGTGGAAATAATTCTATGGTTGGGCATCTTAATGACTCTTAGGAGAGGAGAACTGTAACTGGCAAGGAAGCAGCCTTCATTCAAATTCGCTGGATGGGGCATGTTTGGTTACTTGGGTACTTGGACCATATTCATGTTTTGTCTGTGTTCAGACATGACTATGAGTGGTCTTGATCTTGTTTTGATTCATCGTGGTGCAGACGACCTTGTCTGTGTTCAATGTGGCACAGCAAGACAGCTGTGCCAGGCCCCCTCCCAGCAATGCCTACGTCTGGCTGATAGGGTTTGGCAGGCCTAGGTGACTGCTGCTTTGCTCTCTCAATATTTCTTCTTCTAGGAGAGATGGAGAAACCAAGGCCCAGAATCATCAGCCTGCCAAGGGTCACTTGGGACTAAGGAAGGGAGAGGTGGTCTTCAGCCCTGTCATCTACTCTGGAGTTTACATATTTAACTATCTGCTAGATTGCCTGGTGCCCAGCAAGAGAAATAGTTGATAGAGTCTTTTTGTTTTCCTGGCTAGGAGGTGAGCTTTGGGAGGCCAGGGATGTGGTCTTGAGAATCGATGACTGGCTTTTTAGAAACTGACACAAGCCCCACATGGTGATAAGGTTGGCTGCCAGGATCCCCATCCGGATCACCCAAACTCCAGCATGCCTAAGAAATATGACGTCCCCTCAGACACTAAGCCCTCGGTCCCAAATGGCAGGGCCAGCAACTCAAATCCACAGCACACTCGGCCCTACAACCTCCACAAAGCCAGAATCCACACCTCTGGGACACAGTCCCTGAGTTTCAGCCCCTGCTGAGAGATTCCCAGGCTCAAGGGCTTTCAAAACTCCCTGGACCAACCAACATAGCAAAGATTTGGGAGTGTAGCAGAAAGACCCTGTGTGTGCGTGTTACTCTGTTGCTTAAGCCACATAATCTCCAACAACTCTTGGCCTCAGTTTCCTCATCTGTAAAATGGGAGTTGGCAATAAAGTTGATCATCACGAGGGCTATCAGCGATGACTTGAGATGTGTCTAGTCCAGCACCTGGCACGTAGCAGGTGCTCTGCCTCTCCATCCAGGGCCCCAGGCACCACCCCAGCCCTTTGCACCTCAGTTCCTGACCCAGATGCAGCTTCCAAGCCAGTTCCAAGTCATGCCCGATTCTTTGTTCAAGACTTTTTTTTTTTTGCCGAAAACCAAACCCACGGATTCGTTCGCCTTTTCTTTCAACGTTTATTGAGGATCTGTGATGGGCCACTAAATTTTCAAGGTTGGGATATAGCAAAATAACAGCAGATAAAAACCCCTGGTGCATGGAGTTGAAGGTCTACTGCAGCAGGTCCATGGAAAACCAATCAACAAATATGAAGTATTAAGTCGAACCTAGAGAACAGCTGATATTTGATCATTTCATGTGGTTCCACCGAGTGTAGTAATACCAAGTAGTACTAAGCATGGTGAAGGGAATGCCAGAGTGAGGATGCAGAATCCTGCTTTTAGACAACACAGGTCAGGGAAGGCCTGTGGGAGCCGCCCTGGATGGGGACGGGAGCAAGGAGCTCCCAGGCAAGTGCAGGCGTGCCCTCTGCTCCCAAACTTCCTAGCTGCTCTTCCTACATCTGGCACAGCTGCCCAGGGTGCCCCCACCCCCTTCCTCGGGCTCATTCCCCCCTGCTGTGCCCCTTCTCTTCCCCCCAACTCTAGCCATCCCTGTTGAGTCCCACAGCATATCTGGGGTACCTAACTGGCCTCAGAGGGGCGCCCTTCCTCTGTGATCTCAACGCTATCATCCCTCCCTGGTACTTCCCCTTCCTCTACCTCCCTCCCCCCAGTGGCCATGCCAGTTTATTTATTTATTTTTAGAGATTTATTTATTTGTGCATACAGAACTGGGGTACAGGCCAGAGGCTCAGGGGCAGCGAGAGGCTTCACCAGAGACAGAGTGGGGAGCAGAACAGGCAGACTGAGGAAGTACACTGCTGAGGGGAGCAGCGGGCAGGTCAGGAGAGGTCTGCAGCGCCATGTGGTCACCTCCGGGGCAGGCGGGAATCGAACTCATGCGGAAGTGGCTTTAACCCACAGTGCTGTGCTTTAACCCGCTGTACCACCAGGGAGGGCCCATGCCAGTTTATTAAGGAAAAGACAAAATGAAAGAAAAAGACAAGAGACGGCTACACA